TTTCTGTGTGCCATTGACCTCTTTAGTCAATTCTTTAGCTATATTATGCATGTCCTCCATTCTTAAATTATTATTTAGTAGGTCTTTACATATCCTTTTGGCTACATGGTTCCATTTCTTTTAAATCTTAGAATTTAAACTCATATGTATCAGAGACTTATCTATTAAGTTTTTTGTTTCCTACTCATATAAGGAAGAGTGTTTTTTAAAAAATAAAGGCACAGTCATAAGAAAGTTAAAAAAATAGAGGCAACAAAGCAAGAGTCCAATCTCCTAAAGCACTGTCTTTGCTGGCAATGCCCGTGAACCCTGGGTACCCTCTGTGAGTGCGCATACTCAAATCGTTTCTCCTGCTGCAGTTTTTATGGTCTTCCATTTTGCTATGGCTTCTTTTTGCATGGTTCTTAATTTTCTGGGCACAACAAGGAGTTACTCGGCTTTCAAGTGGTGAGATGAGGAAGCTTCTGCTTTCCAGGTCAGCGCTAATTAATGAATGATGGTGTGCAGCAGTTTCTGGGGAACATAAGTAGTGCAAGAGTGATTTTCCTTGCAATGGTCCCTCGTGAGCTCTGCAGGATAAGTACAAAGATAGCTGAGGTTAATTAAATATAAATACAGAATAACCTGTTTCACTCTGTGTGTTTTCTCCAAACGTTTCTATCAATGTCCTTTCTGAGTGCGAAATGCTTATTCCATCCTAAGTATTACAAAATGGAGATGTTCTTTGTTCTTTGGGTCTATACTTGCACAAGAGTGGCTAAATGGTGACAAGATTCATTTGTTTTTGGTACTGCTATAATTGTTCTTTCTTGATAATTATGGCAAAAAGATTTTTAATCTTTTTTAACAGTGCTAAATGCAATTAAAAAGTTATTTTCTTGTCATAGCTTCAAATGCCACAGATATGAAGAGTGTTTTAAAACTATACCAACAAATGTTTATTAATTTTAGAGAGAGAGGAAGGGAGAGAGAGAAAAACGTGTGTGAGAGAGAAACATTGATTGGTTGCTTCCCATACATGTCCCGATTGGGGATTGAACCCGAAACCTAGGTATGTGCACTGACTGGGAATTGAACCCCCAACCTTTTGGTGTATGGGGTGATGCTCCAACCAACTGAGCCACACCAGGCCAGGGCCAAACTACTTTAAATTTACAGCTTTCCAGACATGGGCAAGTAGGAGGATGGAGACTAATTTGGTTTAATATGAGCAGCTTTAAATTTTATACCTATCTATCTAGATATAGATATAGGTATAGATTATAGTCAGGTGGACATGTGTTTTACAGGGCACATCTGGTTGGAGTAATCAAAGACTAGATCACAAATAGGCTGAGACTCCTCAGGTTAGCTTACTACATTTAAACAATTATCAGCTTTCTTAATGTGTTTCATCATCCCAGAGGCTTAACTATAACATGTGGTAATATACTATGCTGAGGCCCACTTGCAGGTGTTATATACAAAGGTGCGCATGAGTCACAGGTAATCAAGGCTCAGACATCCCAATACCATGCTGTCATTCCTCTCCCCTGTTCCTCAGGATTATTAGGCAGCTCTCAGTTTACACACACATCCTTGAGGAGGCAGCCAGTTGCCACATGCATCAGAAACCAAACTTGAAAGAAGAGTTGCTGAATAGATAAAAATGAATAGAATGGATCGCAGTCACTGCTAATAGTTTAGAGAAATGCTTCTTGCTCAGATACAGTTGGCAGGTCAAAACCCATTTTAAAATGAGTCCCAAATTAATTAATTTAGCACATGCTCCCTGGGCACTTACTAGGTGCCAGAGCTGGTCATGCCACTGGGGATAACAGGGTGAGCAAGTCAGATGATGTCCTACTCTTTATGCGGACAGGTTTTCTTTTAATTTGTAAGTGGGGTCAAATCTATATTTTGAGCTAAGAGAAAAAAATATTCCCCAAATTTACAGGCTTAAAATTGTGATAACTTTAACTTAATAGATTAGTGGGGAATAGATAGGATTTCTTAAACTCACCCAAACATACCTGAGGGTACTTTCCCCCACCAACAGGATCGCTGTTGTGACGAGCCAGAATCAAGTATGTGTGTTGCAGGAGAGAACAGTAGGGAGGACTGCATCAGCATTTCAGGGCTTGTGTCATTTGAGAAAGCCCTTCAGGTGATTTTAATACTTTTTATTAATTTCTTCTTTTGCTAGAATCTATAGATGTTATCGTTCCATGCATGTGTTTAGGCATTTGGAGTATTATATAATCATAGTTAGAGAACTCTGGGTGACTGGTGATAGTAGAGTGGTGGCGGTGAGTTTGTGTGACCTGGTGCTGCAGGAGGGCGCAGACATGAAGACAGAACCTGGGAACGTAGGAGCTGATAGCCTGATCTGGGAAGACTTGATCATTAATAATAAATAAAACCCAGTGGTCAAACACCACCAGAGGCAACCCTGAAGTCTACGTCTTGTTTATGAACTTGTAGCAAGGGAGAGTGCTCCAAGGGACCCCCAGCGAGCCTCACCACCAGAGGAAGAGTCAGGCTTATTGGAGGGTATGTGGGAGCACTGGAGTTAAGGTACAACTTGAATGAAGCACTGTTGTGATAGACTCAAGGCAGAGCAAGGCTGTCAGGAATATTTTATTAACACTTAGTAATATTTTTACTGACACCAGGTCAGTGCTTAAAGGCACATTCAGAGTCTCCTTTCCTCAGAAACTGTAAAGTTAAGAGAAATTTGGCATGCTGAGTCCCCAAATCTTTTGTCTGAAGGTCTGCACCTGGGCTGAAGTCAAGGCTGCTTCCCTGTGTCAAAGTGACCCACACTCTCCCATCATCCAGGCAAGACTGGGCTTTCCATTCTTATCGATACTTAAACAGCTAAGTTTTCATATCACAACCTATGATTTTAGAGAACAAGTTTTCTGAGCCTTATGTCCTTGGTGTAAATAAACAAAAAGTTTTTACAGATCCACATTAGTATGACAAGATATGAAAGTAAAGTTTTGAATGAGGCACAAAGGACAATAGATGTGAAATTCTAAAGTAATTGCCAGAGCAGGTGGCAAGTCTAAAGGAAATATCTTAGCTCCTCAGTGACTCTTAAAAACCCCTCACTCAAAGAACACACTTATGGTTGCCAGAGGGGAAGCGGTTGGCAGACTGGGTGAAAAAGGTGAAGAGGTTGAGAAGTACAGATTAGTAGTTACAAAATAATTGTGGTGATGTAAAGTGCAGTCAAACCTTGGTTCTCGAATGTCTTGGTTCTCGAACAGTTTGGTTCTCAACCAGGTTGTTTGTGGAAAAACTGTCTCGGTTGTTTAACAAAACTTTGGGTTTTGATTCTTAATCTGACAACCCTTTCGTTCTGATACCTGTATGATCAGTCACGAGTCTCTCAGGAGGCAAAAAAAGAGATTTCAGTTTCTGAAAAAATCACTTCTCAAACACTTTTCTGGAATGAATTAAGTTTGAGAACCAAGGTACCACTGTACAGCATAGAAATGTAGTCAATAATGCTGTAATAACTATGTAGCTATGCTATTTGGGTACTGGAAATATTGGGGGAACACTTTGTAAAATATATGATTGTCTAACCACTGTGCTGTACACCTTAAACTTAATGCAAAATAATAGTGAATGTAAAGTGTAATTGAATAAAAATTAGATGATGAAACCCCTCACTCAAACTAGGATCATAAAGGAGGAGAGGAAGTGGAGTTAGTAAAGAATCTGTGAAGAATGTTCTTAAGGAAAGCAATGCTGAGTCCTACCTAACCACCCATCTAAGATCTTTCTACATCTCACTAGAGAGGTGGTTGTCAAGAGGACCATGAGGGCAACTTGACTGGTATTCTCTAGTATTTGGAGTGTCTGACTTTTACCTCAGATATTCAAAGTTGAGAGGCTGAAGGTATTGGCTTGAAGAAGCAGTTCAGGGAGTGAGGGCAGGGGAGAGGGAGAGGTAATACTCAAGACCTGTGTGCTCTGGGAGCCAGCTGTACTTCCACTGTTCATGAGACTGAAATATGTTCCCATGTTTCCTGAGGACCAGATGAGAGCCATTTATGTGAGAGAGCTGTGTTGGAGATGCTTAAATCCTGCTCAAGAGGAACACCTGGAGAGGCCAAGGGACCATTCCCACCTCTCCTCCAACAGAATCTGTATCAAGTGGCCCTCAGGGAACAAGAAACCAAGGGTAGAAGTGGCAGCCAGACCAAATTTCATTGCTCAGGTCAGATGTTTCATTTTCAGGCCTCAAAGAGTGTCAGAAAGCAACCAAGGGGAAAGCATAAATTTTAGTCATTGGTCTGGCCCAGAGAAAACCCTCCTGGGAGCATGCCAGTTGAGCATAACTTGCTGTCCTCAAACTTTTCCCATTTCCTTTTGTTATGAATTCAAGGGGCTCTGTGGGGATAGAAAGAAGACTCCTTTTCCCCATCCTGGAAGAACACAGCCTGCTGGCATTGGACTCCCGCTGGGGAAGTGGATGGAAGACCTATCTTTGAATGAAGCTTGAAGTGTTGATCAATGGCATTCATATTAAAATTTCTGCTGAACTGAAGTTGTATTGTGTGGTTTAAACCAATCAAAGGATCTTTACTACCTGAGAGCCATCAATAGTTACTGACCGCTCAAGTTGTCATCCAGGCCCAGGGGCAAGTCTCCCACTGAGTACACATTGAATGGACAATGGCAAGTAAAGGTGGCCTTCTGCTTCCTTCATCTCATCTTTCCTGCTCCTTCAACATGCTGGTTTCATAGAAGCCAAGAGTACTGTTCACTGGCATTTGCCAAACTTTGAGTTTATTCAAAGTGCTGGCCTGTGAATTGAAAGGTTGCTGGTTTGATTCCCAGTCAGGACACATGCCTGGGTTGCAGGCCAGCCCCTAGTTGGGGGTGTATGAGAGGCAACCTATCAATGTATCTATAGCAAATCTATGTTTCTCTCCTTCTTTTTCTCCCTTCCTTCCTCTCTAAAAATAAATAAATAAAATCTTTTTCTTTTTTTAAACAAAAGAGTGCTTGCTTCAGTGGCACATATACTAAAAATGAAATGATACAGAGATTAGCATGACCCCTGCACAAGGATGACAACAAATTCATGAAGTGTTCCATATTTTTAGAAATAAGCCCATATCTCGACGGTCAATTAGTATTTGACACAGTGGTAAGAAGCATAAAATGGAGTAAAAATAGTCTCTTCAACAAATGGTGCTGGGAGACCTGGAATGGTACATGGAAAAAAAAAAAGAAACTATACCACCAACTTACACCAAACACCAGAATAAACTCAAAATGTATAAAATACTTAAAAATAAGCTGTGACACCATAAAAGTCCTAGATGAAAACATAGGCAGTCAAAAGATATCCTGTGCAGCAATATCTTTGCTGATATATTGCCTCGGGCAAGGATATAAGGGAAAGAATAAATAAATGTAACTACATCAAATTAGAAAGCTTCTGCACAGCTAAAGAAAACATCATCAAAATGAAAAGGGGACCAAACATATGGGAAAACATATTTGTCAATAATATCTTGGACAAGGGTTTGATCTCCAAAATATGGAAAACTCTTACCATTCAATTCCAGGAAGACAAACAATCCAATTAGAAAATGGGCAAAGGACCTAAAAAGACACTTCTAGTCTAGGATCTAGTTAAAGAACATGTATAAATGACCCATGGACATGGTCAACAGGGTGAGTATTGACAGCGGGAGTGGGGGCGGGGCAGGGGAGAGCAACACGGGAAACTGGGACAACTATAATAGAACAATGAAAAAAATTAGAGAAAAGAAAAGAAAGAAAGAAAGAAAGAAAGAAAGAAAGAAAGAAAGAAAGAAAGAAAGAAAGAAAGAAAGAAAGAAAGAAAGAAAGAAAACGCAGGGAACTTGACCATCCCTAGCTGGTAATCTGCCCAGTGCCTGTACTCTTAGAAATCTCTGCCCATTAGCAGGGATGGGCCTCCGCGGCCACGTCTCTCCTCCCCATCACCTCTCTGATCGTAAGCGGTGGGGTGGAGGAGAGATGAGACCAGGCTGGGCCAATCATATTTTCTCTCCATAGAATTTGGGGTTGATTCAATCTGTGTGTATGGAGGGAGGTAGATTTACCCTGACTCATGGATTTAGGAGCCTGGATAACTGCTTTCCAGGGAAAAACAGAGCAGAAGTATAGCTAGAGGAAGGTATGATGATAGAGAAAACTTGAGTCCCTCATGGTTCTTGGCTCCTGAGGACTGACTTATTTTTACCCTTGGATTCTATAAGACACCCCTCTATCTTTATAATTAACTTTTGAACTTTATTATTGGGTGCAGAGATTACTTTCCAGTGGCTTTGAATCATTGTGCCATATAGTTTAAAGATTACATTTTTAATTTACTTTCAAAATTTTATTTAGTTGCTGCTTTTTTTGATTCACCTCCACTATCAGCTTGATGCACTGAGACACCCTGACATCCCCCATCATTCGCTCTGACTTGCCCTGCATAGTGGGGCTGGATCAAGGCTGCTCAAAAAGTAAGTTTAACCTAAAAAGTCTTTTTCTTTTCTTATATAGTTAAACTAATTAGATCTCAACACTAAGTTACCTGCTGACAGTAGTCTGGAACACATTTGCAGACTATTTGTTTAGAAAATTTTTTTATCGTCACTCGAGGACATTTTTTTTTCATTGCTTTTAGAGAGAGAGGAAGGGAGAGAGAGAAACATCTCTGTGAGAGACAAGCATGATTGGTTGCCTCTCTTATGTGCCTGGAGGGAGCATCCAACCCACGACTGAGGTTATGTGCCCTGACTGGGAATTGAACCTGCAGCATTTTGGTTATGTGACAGTGCTCCAACCAACTGAGTCACTGGCTAGAGCTATACTATTGTTTAGAAGTCCATGTACTGCAAGCAAAAAGGAAAGAGAGAAAAGGATTTGTTATAGTCTTTGTATCAGGTTTCTTGTACTTCTTTATAAATTCATGTTTATTTTTTAAATTACATTTTATTGATTATGCTATTACAGTTGTCCCAATTTTTCCTTCTTCGCCCCTTTCTACTCAGTAACCCTCCACTCCCTCAGGCAATCCCCACGCCATAGCTCTTGTCCATGGATCATGCATGTAAGTTCTTTGGCTACTCCATTTCCTATACGTACTTCACATCCTTATAGCTGTACTATTACTACCTATTTGTGCTTCTTAATCCCCTCTTTACCCATTCCCCCACAACCCCCTTCCATCTGGAAACCATCAACATGGTCTCCACATCTATGATTCTGCCTCTGTTCTTATTTGCTTAGTTTAATTTTTAGATTCAATTGTTGATATGTATTTATTGACATTTTATGGTTCATAGTTTTGATCTTTTTCTTAAATAAGTCCCATTAACATTTCATATAATAATGGTTTGGTGATGATGAACTCCTTTAATATTTTCTTGTCTGGAAAGCTCTTTCTCTGCCTTTTGATTCTAAATGATAGCTTTGCTGGGTAGAGCAATCTTGGCTGTAGGTCCTTGCTTTTCATGACTTTGAATATTTCTTGCCTGCAAAGTTTCCCTTCTAACCTGCAAAGTTTCTTTTGGGAAATCAGGTGGCAGTCTTATGGGAACTCCCCTGTAGGTAACTAACATCTTTTCTCTTGTAGCTTTTAAGATTCTCCCTTAACCTTTAACTTTTGGCATTTTAATTATGATGTGTCTTAGAGTGGGTCTCTTTGCACCCATCTTTAGTTTGGAACTCTCTGTTCTTCCTGTACTTGTATGTCTATTTCCTTGACCAAATTAGGGAAACTTTCTTTCATTATTTTTTCAAATAGACTTCCAATTTCTTGCTCTTTCTCTTCTCCTGGCACACCTTTGATGTGATTATTGGATGGCTTGATGTTGTCCTAGAGGCTGCTTACACTATCCTTGTTTTTTTGGATCCCTTTTTCTTCTTGTTGTTCTGATTTGGTTGGTTTTTGCTTCCTTATGTTCCAAATCATTGATTTGATTTTTGGCTTCATCTACTTTACTAGTTTCCCTGTAAATTGTTCTTTATTTCTATTAGTGTATTCTTTGTTTCTGACTAGACCTTTTTTATGCTGTTGAGGTCCTCACTAAGTTCCTTGAGCATCCTTATAACCAGTGTTTTGACCTCTGCATCTAATAGGTTCCTTATATCCCTTTCGTTTAGTACTTTTTCTGGAGTTTTGATCTGTTCTTTCACTTGGGCCATGTTGCTTTGTCTCCACATTTTGGCTGCCTCCGTGTGCTTGTTTCTATGTATTAGGTAGAGCTTCTATGACTCCCTTTCTTGGTAGTGTGGCTGGATGTAGTAGAAGTCCTGTAGGGTCCAGTGGCACAGTGTCCCCTAAATTTCCTTCCTTAGGTTTGATTTTTGTCAATCTCCATTTTTTTTTACTATTATTAAATTTATATAGTTGTTGGCGGAAGTGCTTCACTTCAAATACTGTATTTCAGAATCTCATGGGAATGAGAAGAACAAATATTATAGAATAGTAAGACAACCAGACAGAGTTGAGTGTGGTCCCCAGGTGAAATATGTTGATTTGGGGCTCTGCTGATGTCTGAGAGGTCAGGTTATTTTAACTATCTGCCATTGGTAATCATCTCAACTATTTCCTCCTCCCTTCTTTCAATTTTTTAAATTCTGAGTCACATTTTGAGGCTCTGTCACATTCCTTTGTTTCTTATAATTCCCTGCATTAGGTGACTTTTCCAATTCATATCTTCTGAATTTTTTTCTGTAGTCTACTTTTTTTGATTAAAACTTTATTTATTTGATGTTTTGGATTATACATTCTTCCTGTCAGAGAGGATCTATTTACAGTGTAGCGCATTCTACACTATGTGTTGGATAAATGGTAGTTAACTCAGGAAAGAGTATAGGGGCACCTCAGTCATATTTGTAACGTTCTTTAAGAGAGCTGAACGTGGCTAATATCAATACATAGTTCTTGATGGCCCTCAGCTGCTGCGTATATTGCTGTGTTTTCTTCTATTGTGGAGGAATTCGTCCCCTGCATATCCTCCAAAGTTTGCCTTTACTATTCTCTGCGCCTTACTTATTGTCTATTTTTTTAAACGCCCAATTATAAAAGTAATACATGCTTACTATGGAACACAGAAAGGCAATAAAGCCATGCATAACCTGACCAGGGTGAAAACATGTTATGCCTTTTTTTTTTTGCATATGACAATTTACCTCTGAATCTTACGCTGTATTTTAAAAAAATGCCCAGGAGCCGTCTCAAAATCCAAGTGATGTTAAAGATTAGATGTTATTCATCAAATTCATACGCAAATCAAAGAATCACAGTAAGGTAAGGAAGCTCGCATCTGACAAAGGAACCTGGGTACCCGGGTGTTCTTTGCAGGTAGGCTGCTGGTCCATTAACCACAGCCTGTTCTGCAGCCACCTGGGAATTAAGCGAGTGGAGGCGGGGTTTCCGATGATTGAAATTAGGGGAGAGGAGCTACAGACCTGTCACCAATCAGGGCCCTACTCTGTTTTTTCTAACTGACCAATCAGAAAGCTCTTCTGGAGAGCTGTCTTCAAGTCTGAGACGCCTACCCCTATTGCAGCCTATGAGCAGGCGCCTCATACAAAGCGTCCGCGGCGCTCACACCCCGCGGGAGGTGCGGCCGGGCCTCTGCCCCGCCCCCTCCCTTGTGGCCCCGCCTCGCCGAGGGTGGGGGCTGATTCGGTTACTCTATCGGAGGGAGGTGGGGGCCCGGTTCTCGCTGGGCTCGTGCGTTCTTCACCCGCGGGCTCCCGATTGTCTTTTGCAGCGGCCGCTCTTGTTGTCTGTCTCCTTGCCTCCGACCCCGGGGCTGCAGCTGCCAGAGCGAGCACGCCTCCCGCGGCCACGGCTGCCCAGAGCAGGTAATGGGGCTCTAGGGCTGCAGTGCTGATGGGAGCATCGGGCGCTCTGCTGGCGGTGGGATCTGTTCCCCCTACTGCTCCCGCCGGCAGCGTCCGGGACTAGTCATCCGGAGCCCCGCGCCAGCCTCTAGGCGCCTCCTTCCCTAAGCCCACGGCGACGGCGGCACCTTGCGGAGAGGTGGGGGCGGGGCCAGGCGAGGGGAACCGGAGGGCGTGGGGCCCCGGCAGCTGCGGGCGGGACCCCTTGGGGACCTCTTAGGACTCGGGGAGAGGCGGCTGGGCCCTACGGAGGGCGGGAGGACTTTCAGGTGGAGGGAAAACCGCAGAGTTGAGTCAGAGTCAGGCACCCGAGGGAAAAGGACCCACTGATAGTAGCGATAAGCTGAGTGGTTTTTTTTTCTTTTTCTTTTTAAATTGAGTAAGGTGTTTGTACTTGGGTAGTGTTAATTATACAATTTCTGGAGATAGGCTCTTTTCAGGGAGATTTACACATTACCATTGGTTACTTATTATCTTTTAAGTTAAAGGCAGTCTTTAACGTGAACATGTTTGAGGGTTTTTTCTTAAGTGACAAGTAGACAGACCCAGCAGGGTGACTCACCTTTGTCTGCGCTGAAGTGGGGAGTGGCGCGATAGCAATGGGGGGGAGGAATGCTGCTGAGGAATGCCTGTGCAGGTTTGAGAGGATTGTGGGGGTGGGACCTTGTTTCTGTCACTCTCGTGGGTGAAAGTAGAATTACTCTTTTTCTAATTTTTAAAATGGCTTTCAAATTTGTTTTTTAAAAAAAGCTTCTTTAGAAACAGTCTCAGGGTTTTAGCTTTTAGGGATGCACCTGCTACTCATGCAGTAAAACTTTGCAGACAAGTCCTAGGCAGTTGACTATATGAGTTGATTGACTTACAAAGAAGCACTTTGAATTGCTCTTACCTTTTTTTTTTTTTTTGACGTATTTAATAACCTTTTTTATTCACCATTTGTTCACAAGAGAAATGGTGAAGGTCACCGAGTTATAACAGTAATGGCACAGCGAGGACTCTTGGAGCAGTGTTCTCCGCTTCCAGGTGCACTCTCTTCTACAAACTAGTATTTCCATTTAGGTCTTTTAATTGAGAAGTTTCAGAGCATGGCGTCAATGTTAGTATCCTCCTACCCACCGGGAAGCAGGTAGTGTTTATCTTGCCCATTTTACAAAGTACAGAAGCTTGAACGCCCTAGAGATAAAAGGAGTACTGCCCGAGGCTACTTGACTCCTACTCAATTTTGTACCTGTAATGGATTTAATCCAGGGCGCTGCAAGGTCCCCTCCGTCAAGCAAGCGTCCCCACACTGATGTAATCACATGTACATGAGTCAGAGATGGGGATGGTTATGTCCTAGTAAAGAAATACTTGATTTTGCTAAGAGTTTGAATCTCACCAGAAGTGTAATTTTTCACACAGACAAAGCAAAATAAAACAGTGGTGCTATGTGAAAATATTTTAAATTTTGGGAGGTGTTCTAAATTCGAGAATCTTATTTATGTTTGCATCAGTGGACTTCAGTATTTTTTAATTTGAACAGAAATAATATGTATAAAGCACATACAGATGAACATAATGCATTTTGATCACAACTTATGACTTTATTTTGGAAAATTTTTACCGTAAGTTTGGTGGAAAGGTTGAAAATGTAAGTCATTTCTTCCTTATTTAGGATAACGCAAGGAAGGGAGTGTAGGCTTTAATGGAGAGCAGAATCAGATGGATATTTGGGAGGAACCTCTTGAATGATGTCAAGGCTTGGGGAACTCTAGAGAATGGTTAGGTTATGTTGAATTTACTAGTCATCAAGAACATGGAAATGTCTTATGAATTACTAACTAGTACTTTATAATTGTGACATAATCCTTTGTTTTCATGGCAAATATATCTGTTGCATGTAACATGTATGTTTTGACATAACTTATTTATGTAGCATATAAGGTATCCCTTACATAAGCCCTGTCATCTAGCTTTGCTTCTGTTTATGTTTTTGCCTTAATGCCTTCACTTAATTTTTCTCTCCTGCCAAATTAAAATTTCTAGCACCCAAGGAAAAATTTCCATAAAGAAGCCTTTATCATCTGTTAATATGTATATGGAAAATGAGTCCTTTCTTTGGATAGTCACAACTCTCTTGAAGTGTGGGAAATTGGAAAGAGATTTAGGCTTTTCATCAAGTTGTGTTCTTAACTAGGATCTCTGCCCTTTAAAAAAAAATTAATTAACGACTTCCACTAGATGGTGCAGTAGGTGTTGCTTATGGGAGATTTCAATCAGGTTTTTATCTTACAGCATTTCACTGACACAGGTACAAACGTACTACAAGTGCTTCTGTCATAATTGCTATTTAGAGAGAATTGCAATCAGTGATTTAAGTCAGTTTTATTAAATGAGATTATTTGGATGGAAGGAAATGGCCAGTAATTTTAGAAATAATTTCTACTAAAAAAGCTCTTTGGTTCTCCTTGCAGTCAGGAACCCAGACCAGAGTGAGGATTGTTGGTCCTTATTGGGCATGTAAATTTTTTTTTTTTCCTTGAACACTCATTTATATCTTTTTAATCTTTTAGGAGAGCATGATTATCATCACTTTGCTTCACTTATGAATCCTGCTGATGGTAGGAGTTGTTCCTTAAGTTTGTTTGTTCCAAGGATAGCTTCGAGAAGAGAAATGAGAAAACTCAGCTGTTACTGTGATAAAAAGCAGTGCCCGTTTTAGATGCAGAAAATGACAACATTAGTGGAGAATAAGGACTAGTTAGGATGATCGCATTTTACGAGATGTTTTGCAGAAATCACTGGACTTTTAAAAGACGAACGTTAGATGGGAAGGTCTTTAGGTGGTTGGTGTGTGTTTATTTTAATTCCATTAAACTCTTTGTGGGGAGGAGAACTTTGGTAAATCCTTTCTTGGAACCAACTGTGGTCCTCAGGCAATATGATGGTAATTGGGAGGGGGGGAAAATAAATAGGTGTCATTTCTTCTAGGAAGGTAGCTCCTGGCAGTGCTGCCAGCCTTTGGATGAGTGTGAGCAGGAAAAGGTGAGTGGTTTTAAGTAGCCAAGCAGATTAAAATCTTGCCTGAGTGTGTGGGCTTCCCAGTGTTTCTGGGCCCTTGAGAACATTAATCAAGCCAGTAAACATTCTAACTCAGGTTCATAGCCATCCTGTGGTCCAGTTTTGGGCCAGTTACCTATTCTATCTTCAAGTTTATTTTAATTAAAAAAAAAATAGAATACCGAACTTTATAAAACGACCTGAGTATGTAAGTGAATAGCTTAAAAGAGTATTTTGGCACATGGTGTGTTCTCATTCTGGTAGGTGTTTGAATATACTTACGTTTAATACTCTTCCACTCCCTAAAAAGGCTTTATTAGGAATAGGCAAACATGAATATACATAGACCTTTGTTGCTCCCTAATGAGAACTTGAGTTAGGGAAGAAATAAGGCTCTTGGTCTAAATATTACTTTGAAAAGAGGAGGTCAGGTAGGATGCTGTAAAGGGCTGGTCTAGGTAAGAGAGGTGACTTTTTGCTGTTATGTATGTGGTGAAAGCATCTGGTTGGCTTTACTCATGATAAAAACATGATATTTGAAAGACAGTGCCTATAAAGACAGTGAAGATAGAATAGGTAACTGGCCCAAAACTGGACCACAGGATGGCTATGAACCTGAGTTAGAATGTTTACTGGCTTGATTGAAAGTAGTTTGACCCTTGAGGAATATTTCTGAGTGTTGTAATTTTTTTTTTTCTGACAGTTGGAACTTTGTTGAAGTGCTATTGTAAAAACTTGATGTTGAATCAGGGGTAAAAGGGATTATGGAACCATGGGCCAAGATTATTAAGCTTCTACTGCTGATATTCAAAATAGTTTTTTCCTCTTCCTAATATGGCTCTGGTTTAACTTCTGGAGATTCTGTTTGGATCTCTGTGTTCTTTTCATGTTTTGAATTTAGCTCGGTTCCTGGTAAGCTCCCTCCATGTAGACTTCTTTTTTTGGATGATCTAATCAGGGTATAGAGTAGGTGTTTTGTCAAGTTTAGGGGAGCTGTTGCTCTAGTGTTGGTAATGAAGAAATCAATTAGTACTATTTTGATGTATTTAGAGACATTTTGAATAGGATCAAAACAATTTTTTTAAAAAAGATTTTATTTTTAGAGAGGGAAGAGAGGGAGAAAGGGGGAGGGAAACATCAGTGTGTGGCTGTCTCTTGAGCATTCCCTGCTGGGGACCTGCCCCGACTGGCAATGGAACCAGTGACCCTTTGGTTCATGGGCTGGCTCTCAGTCCGCTGAGCCACACCAGCCAGGGCAAGATCAAAATTTTATATTTTAGAATTTTCAAAATGGTAATCATTTAATATGCATACAATTAAGTTGAATATGAAAACTTCAGCCCAGTGGTTCTCAAACTTCAGCATACCACCACGTTACCTGGAGGGTGCTTTAAAAGTTAGGTTGCTGATTGAGTAGGTCTGGGGATGGGCCCTGAGATTTGCATGTTTAATAAATTCCATGGTAACAGTGATGCTGCTGGTCCAGGGACCACACTTTGAAAACCACTGAGAAGATTCCAGGGGGAATATGAGTGCAGTTAAGTATATAGGCTTTGAAGTTTGAAAGAGCTGGATTCGAATCCCTGCTCTGCCACTTACTAAATTTTTGACTTTAGGCAAGTTTCTTTCCCCTATTTTCTCATTTCTAAAGTAGAAATAAAATAGTATTATGTTGCTGTGAGTATTCAGTGAACACAAACATGTTGTAAAAGTTTGTAGAACAGTGCCTTGCAGGTTGCAAGCATGCAAAAAATGTTGGCTTTTAATCATAAAAATCAGTGAGTGCATGAAATAAATAGGATTGGGCATCTTACAAAGGGGAGGTGGCTTCTCAAGGACAAACTAACATTTATCTCCAGTTCCTCACTCTATGCTGTGGGAAAGATACATGAGCACTCAATTTCTACTTAACAAATGAAGCA